TTATCTGAGCAAAAAATTCAGGAACTTGATTACTTGACCCAAAAGTTCACAGACAAAGAATTTAAGAGTGTTATAATTTCTTAGTTGAATTTCCAGCTTTCTCATGAGGTATGGTAATGAGACCTAATAAATTACTGAGCCAGAATCAATTCAACTAGCAGTTGTCATATTACATTTAAAAAAGTGAATTCTAATATTAAAAAGGAAAACCCACTCTGCTCAGTCAACAAGTCCTGGTGTGCTGACTTATTACGTGTCAGGAACTGCTCTAGTAGAGAGACAAAGCTCTGTCCTTAGATCTTATGTTCTCATGAGGTGACAAAAGGGTAAAGAGATATATTTTGTGTGAAATAGTGAGAAAATCTATGCAGAATGTTCTCTTGGTTATATAGGAGGAAAGACTTGGAAACCAAGCCAATTTCTCTGAGAATCCTTTCAAATTAAGGAGCAATAGCCCCACCCATGATCAGCTATATACTTGTCAAAGAACATTAAAACAGATGCAAAACAAACAAACAAACAAAAAAATGCAAATTGACTACCAGAACTGGTTTGAAAGGAATGTGCATAGTCAGGCATGATGGCACACACCATTGACCAGTCACTCAGTGACTCAGGAGGCTGAGGCAGGAAGACTGCAAGTTCAAGGTTAGCCTCAGCCACTTAGCAAGATTCTCAAATACTTAGTGAGAACCCACCTCAAAATAAAAAGGGCTAGGATGTAGTTCAGTGGTAAAATGCGCCCTAGTTCAATCCCCAGTATTGAAACAAACAAACAAAAGTAAATGCGTAAATGTCTAGTGGTTAGCTATTGGAAGAAAGGTTTTAGTTTATGCTTTTCTGGACTGGTAAATCCTTACCATTTATCTCAGATAAAAGTATTTTTTTAAATGAGCTAATGGGTGAGATTTATTGGATGAAGAAGGGATAAGAGATTAAGGAAGTTTAAGGAGCTTTTCAAAAATCCATGCCCAAACATGAATAAACTGCCTCACTAGGAATTATATTCACATAACTTGGTACAATATGGATCCTAAGAGTCTTAACCACCAGATTAAAATCGCCCCTTTCCCACCTCCCATCTAACATATTGTAAGATGGAGATGGTTAAGCAAGCTGGTCAAAAGCTCTTCTTTAAAATTTCCCAGTAGCCCCACTATCCTAAGCTTCAAAATATGGCAATAAAAATGATTGAGGCTGAAAATTTTTTTAAAAAAAAGTTTATTGAAGAATTATAAATYTGACAACAAAAATCACAGTAATATTTTATAATGTTAATTGTGGGAAGATTTTTTTAAAATACTTCCTCCTTCTAACCATATACAGACTATGATAAACTTCTAAATAATTAYTTTCTTATAGGCATTGTCCAGTCTGACAGACTTCTTATAAATGTTCATAAAATAGAGAAGTGCAACAAAACTGCATTCTGGATTTTAATAGGGAATAGTACTAGTCATTGAGTCTCACCATCTGAACTCACCATCTGAATGTTTGGGCTTCAGCAATTTGAAAATTAATTATCTTAAATCTGAAATCTTTTGCCAGGAAAAGTGATTTTTGTTGTTGTTTTTTTAAGGAATGCCTCTAAAATAGCCAATGAAGTTGCTACCAAGTACCTCACTAAATGCCTTTCAAAGAAAATGACAGAATGAACTSATTTGCAGTAATTGATTCTTGTAATGAAGTCTTTTCTCTAAAGAAAAGAATAAGAGCTTTCATATTTATTATTTTGAGTCAAAATATTTAGTTTAGCTTTCTCTACTTTTCTAGTCAGGGTGCATGCCACTCCCTGCCCCCAGCCACTTGGAATGAGTTTGTACCTGTTGTGTATGTAATCCAGAGGGTGGTAAAAGTATGCATCACAGTGAGGGAGATAAAAAAGCTAGTCTATGATTTACATTTTTTTCAAAACAGGATAATCAGAAACTAAAAGCACAGCTAATTCACAAAGTGGAAAATCAAGTGTTGATCTACCAAGGACAAGCAGCCTCAGAAATAATTACTCTAAATCAAAGAAATAACAGAAATGTAAAAGATATTAATTTTTAAATGAGTTCTTTTATGCTAGGTTGTTCTAAGTACTTTTTTGTTATTACTTCATTTTTCTATAAAGTAAACTTTTATTTTACAGATGAGGAAAACTGAGGCAGAGTCCTTAAGCAACCTGCAAAAGGGCACAGAAGTATGCAGCGCAGGACTCAAATGCAGATTCTAGAGTCAGCTCTGTAAAAGCTGTCTTCCTATTCTGCCTCTCAATCACCCAGCCAAGCCCTCTCATTTACAATGACATCTAGAGAAGGAAAATTTAGTGATTAAACTAAAAAAAACCCAGAGTCTAGGTTCAAATCCTCTATCAAAACATAACAAAGAAAAACACATCAATTCCCTTACAAAGAGAAAGAAAAACAATCAATTATACTGAGCCACCCTCATGCTTAGTGAAAAGGCATGATATATCATATTTTCTATCACTAGCACACAGATAATTCAGCAGGTTGTATCAACTGATAATCCCATCCCTCTTCTATAACTCCATTCAATGAAACATAAATCAGAAAAAAATTACCAAAAAGAAAAAAAGACAYATTAAGCAGATTTTGAGGTTTATTAAAATAAAGTATTAGCAAACAATATGCAAAAACAAATTTAAGAGTTATGGCTTTGAAACGCACAGTGTAGTAAAACATAATACATTTTTATAAGTATCAAAAGGATAGCAGAATTGAAGCATCATGCTACAATTTCATTTTCTATAACACGAACAGAAGCAGAACAAGAACAAATAAGAAGCAGTCCTACAGTGCAGCCATTGGTTTGGTCTTTATCATTTACATATGAAAGATCTTTTTAAAGAGAGTGCAGGTAAGTACATACATTCAGTTTCAATGATCTTAACCGAATTTAAAATAAGTGAATTTTAAATTGCAACTTTAAACAACCAGGTTAAAAAGAATATCTCTAGCCCAACCATCATCCTCAAGAGTTCCTCTAGTAAAATCAAAGCAACATCATTTCCAATAGTATTATACAGGAAAATCTGACCCTATAAGATTTTCTTTTACAAAACACTTGGGATTCTTTGGCCTAACTGGAGTTCTCTTATAGCTAACACCAGTTAGTTTTAAGACAGGTACTATCTACTAATAGGGGGTGGGGATTTATTTATACAAAATTTTGAACTTTTAAAAATCACAGCAACTTCAAATAAATCCTTAAATGATAATGGCTCATGATTATTTTAGAAATTTTAAGAACTGAGTCATGTGGACAAGAACCATAAAACCCTTTTCACTCTGCCACGATCAAAGATCCTGCTCCTTTCAACAAAATAACTCATTACTTATTTTACAGCAAATGCTACCAACAATATTACAGCATGTACTCTTACAAAATAACAATAAACAAAACCAGAATATATGAAATCTTGTTTATTGGTTTGGGTATACTACCTAATTTTAGAGTGTCACTTCAACTATAATGCTGTTGTGTTTTGTTTTGGAGATGAGTTTCATCTTATTTTTCTTCCCACCCACCCATGGGTGGATCTAATCCAGGGTCTCCCACATGCTAGCAAATGTCTACCACTGACCATCATCCACAGCCAGGAAGGCAAACTTCTGTAAAAGTTTAACAAAGGCTTTATAATACTGTTACCTCCTGTAATCAGGACACACTAAACTGCAATCCACTGAATTCTAAAACAATTATCCAAATTTCTCTCCAGCAAGATTTGTTTATGCAGGGGAGAAAAAAAAAATGCCTTGCAAGTACATTCAAGAATCTCACCTCTATCAATGAAGAAAATAATGTTGTTCAAATAATGCTGCTGGGGAGAACAGGCAGCAAAAGGAAAATTACCCTCCAAAAAGCTGTCTTAGTTAATATCTGAGAAAACCACTTAGGAAAACTCACTCCCATAAAAACCATTAAACAATTCTAAAACCACTACACTGTCTCACCTTAAAAGATACTTGCTTATCTTGCTGATGAAAAAAATCAGAATGAACACTTATATTCAGACTCCAGACATCAAGAGTTCTTAAAATAGGTCCAAAAATGCAACTCATCAATGAAGGCTGAATTCAATAATTATCAAAGGATTCTTCCTTCTTCAGGAAGTAAAAAGGATAATATATTTTAAATGAGAAAGGTGACAGTAACTCAAAGTACCATTAAGCAAATAACTAGAAAAAGTATTAAAAAATGGACCTAGACTGGAGTATGAGATGTTCTCTATAACACAAGTGCAGCACTTTAATACATACTACCAAACTTTTTAGAGTTTCTCTGCTATCAGTAGGATTCTGTTTTTTTTGTAAACCTTTTCCTCCAAAAGGACACTATTACAAGGGAAGGAACGGTTTCTAACAGGTACCCTCAGGTAATAACAGGGAAGGTTTTATAAGGTGAACCCTAGTTCTTATCTTGACAATAGCCTTCAGATTTGAATACTTAGTAATTGTTTACATCCCCTAAAGGACGTCTTACTCTCAAAAGTTATGAAAAGCATAAATTTGTAATACTAGGTGTAACTTGTTGAACTGAATCTTATTCTGGGTTTCACCTCAGCAACACAGCCAGTTCAACTGCTGGGTTATACAGCAACCATGAAATGTTAAAAAAAAAAAAAAWATATATATATATATATATATATTATATTATATTCTAATGAAGATATCTTTTTTTTTTTGGTGATGCTGCAGGGGTTGAACCCAGAGTCTCAAGTACACTAGGAAAGCTCTCTTCCATTGAGCTATGCTCCCAGCCCCTGTATTTGACATTTTTGATGTCTTCCTTAAATTTTCTCTAGAGAAAAGTGTCAAAATCAGTAGATCAGTAACATGCCTACTAGTTTATATTCCATATATTAGCCATGAAATCAATAAGATGTTAGTCAAATGCACTTCTTATAACCTGCTTTTTTGGCAATCAAGATCTTGTTACTTTTAATTCATTATGAGATTAATTTGATTCTGTTCTGCTTTTTGCATTTCCCAAACTGGCTGCAATTTCAGTATTCCCAGATTCTGTCTTTTAACTGGCATGTATTAATATAGTCTATCTGCTATAAAAAGTGATTATTGTAGTGGTGCTGATATTCTTGCAAATTTGACTATAAACCAGTCTAATATTAAATAAAATCTTAATATTGTACTTTTTTGAAATAGTTTCTTTTAGAGATACTTTCTTATTGTTAGCCAGAATTTTACTTTGCTTTTTCTGTCTTCATCTTATTAATAATTTTTATCTCATGTATGTATAATATATGTATATATTATACATACATATACATATATCCTTAGGGTTTATAAGAATAGCGGAACTGAATAAAATTTTCGTTTAAAGGCCACAGGTGGAAAATTTACAATCTTTAGGAAATATAACAGGTTTCTACTTCATGAAATTCTTAACAGTTAACAGCTTCAGTACTGTCATTCACAAGATAATACTTCTTAAACACACAGAAAAAGCCAATCACATAATACCTGCTAAATATCTAAAAGCTGGAACAGGGTGTCTACAAACAAAACAATTTTTAACTTGCAGCTAAAAACATCTATAAAATAATTTGATGACTAAAATAATCACTCAAGTTGATTATATGTATCTGTCATTCAACTTGAGTGAATTCTTTTTCATAAATTTGTGCCATGAGCCTGTTAATTAAAGAATGATAAAAATACCTAAGTTCTATCACTAAACAAATAATTCTCTTTCATGTGGCTCATACAACTTAGAATACATGTTACATAATACTTACGTTGAAGGCTCAGGTGACTTGTCTGAAATTATTCTTTTTACCCAACAAAGAATTCTGAGCTGAAACACAAATGACACTTCACCTGAAGGCACTAAAATCATCCAATGGCTGCACTTTGAAAAAGCAATAAATAATGACACAGAAAGCAAGAGGAATAGCAAAATGCTTTCCTAAAAAAATATTTTTTGTGTTTTTTTTTTCCTCATAAAAGCAGAAAGGGCAAAGCAGAAAGTCAAATCAAAAATAACATTTTTAACAGCTGAATGGCATGGCTCCAGATACTTACAAAGGCACTAGAAAACAAAGCTTCTTTTTCTGATTAGGTACATTAGGTCATTTTTCTTTTCAAAATAATTTCTGCTTTCTTGTGCCATTACTAAATGTCCATCTGACTATTCCCTAGAAAAGGTGGTTAATAGTACTCAAAGCCAAATCATGATTGATTAAATGGATATTTTAGAGTTGTCATCTTTCCTTTAGAAGATTGTGTTCTGGGAGATTAGCATCCATGTAGATACTAAAAAAATAGAAAAAATGCATTGATGATAAGGAGAGAACAGTCTTTGATACGTGAATGTTTTGAAATCAGCTATCCCAACACCTATTGCCGATTCATTTAATATCAGACCAGTAGCCTCACCCTTGAGGCCCAATCAGAGAGCCTCCTATGGCTACAGCGCATAGGTCCTTGCATGGGGAGACCAATACAAGTGAGAACAATGACATTAAGTACATGATTTTCCAACATTAATAAGACCCACAAGACTGTAGAAATTAAAAAGGCACCTTAGTTGGAGGTATAGAAGAACAATCTTATAACCTAGATTGAAAATAAAATACTAGAAAAAGGCATAACTTTCTAAAACTGTAAACTATAAATTGTAGTTTGTTAATACAAAAGGGGTAACAAGGAATTGAGGATAAGCATCTAAGTCCAAGTCACTTGAGTGTTTTACCAAAGGTTACACTAAAAACTGTCACCCATAAAAGTGCAAAATAAAAGATTAATGCATGTCAAAATTACAATCCTTGCAACAGGGCCAAAAGCAGCAAACATAGCTGAACAAGGCCGTGCATGCACTGTCACTAGCTAAAAAGTAGTATTTATGACAAGATTTTGAGTAAATGACATATACTAGAGATCAATTACTTGGCAATTTTTTTTTTAAAAAGGAAATGTTTTACAAAAGATATTGAGCATGAAGTCACATTACACTGACAAACATTTAGCTATATAAATGTAAATTTTATGTCATCTAGAAAACTCACTTCGCTTTTACTGAACACTACTTGTTAGAGCAGTGCATAGTGTTCCATCAAATAAAAAGATTATTTTAGAGTTTCTTTTAAGCCCCTACCATAGGCTTTTAAAAACTATGTGTTAAGCTTTTTTAAAGTTGGTGGGACAAAGAAATTGTTAGAAGTATAGTTTCTGGAAAATCAACAGAAGGAAGACTATTTTTCTCTATTTATAACCTCTTATACTATAATTTTTCATCATGTGATGCATATTTTTTAAAAATTAACAAATAAAAAACCTGTTGGGATGATAAACTAAAGCATGTTCCAGTTTAAAATCAACACCAAAATTCTGAACAGGGGCATAATACTTAGTCCACATCTTTTACAATACCTTTGAGAGTTAATCACAAGAACATGAATACAAACAAATGCAGATTCATCACAAAATACAAATGTGTTGGTCACAATTATGTAGAAAAAAAAAGCTATAAAATCTGTTTTTCCATGTCAGCTCACAGTATTTGTACTGGAAGTTTCTCTAAAATTAAAATAAGTCCAGTAATAACAATTGAAACAAATATTTCTGCACTATGAAACGGAAGATATGGGATTTAAAGGAGATCCCATCTGAGTAAGGACTTTATCCAGCCACTGAAGAGGCCCATGGAAATGAATCTCAATCCAATATGGGGAGCTGGTAACATCCTGATATTCTGCTCCCCAGCCCTATGAAAATGAACAGATATCATAGTCAATCTCTCTTTAAGTTGTCAACAAGTCTAAAGCAATTATAATAACAAACAGATAGTTTAACARTAAAGATATACAGAATACTTAAATAACTATCACAAAACCAATCTTGATATTCACCATGGAATTATAAGAAAAGATTTACAATATTCAGAGATATATGAATTTTTAAACAACATATACTTCTCCTAATAGAAACGCATGGCACCAGGTGTTTCAGCATTTTTTTAAATTTTAGAAACATTATACAGTACAATATCTCATAATTAAAATATTATTTATTTCTGCTATGAGATATATTCTCACTTATTAGGATTAAATAAAACCCATAAATAGCCTCACGTAACTTTATGTCAGATTATATGACCAAAAAACTTTGTTTTCAGGTTTTGTTTTTGTTACTAGGGATTGAACCCAGAGTGCTCTATCACTAAGCTATATCCCCAGTACTCTTTATTTGTCAAGATAGGGCCTCGCTAAGTTGCGGAGGCTGTCCTGGAAATTTCAATCCTCCTCAGTCACTGGGATTTACAAGCTTGTGCCACTGTGTCTGACTTGTTTTGATATTTTTAAAATTTTGCTTTGTTTTTATTTTTTTCCTGTCACATAAGGCACTGTAGATACTGATAAACACATTTATAAATAATTTAATGTAGTGATTACATAGCCATTATCCGTAAAGCTGGGAAATTAATGAGATGAAATGAACTAAAACGCTAGCTTAAAACTACAAACAAAAACACAAAGGAAAATTTTCACTTTTCTTCTATCTGGATTTATCAAGCTCTCTTTGTTAGTGCTTATTCTAGTCCTGTTCCAGGAAAATTATGGGAGGAAAGAGGAAAAACAATGAGGAAAATGGGTAATGCAGATAAACTAAATATGCAAAAGTCTCATTTGTATAGAGGGAGGGGAAATAACTTTAGGGTGATTGATAATTCAATGTACACATCAGATCTACAGTAAAGCATCAAGAAAACACTGGATGGATGGATGGATGGATAGAAGAATGGAAGGAAGGAAGGAAAAAAACACTAGATAGGGAGAGAATGCCAAAAAGAAAAAATTCACACATGGCATGTGACAGTTGTTGTTCTTGGGCTAAAAATCTTTATGGACTATGTGAATATAGTATAGGTTTCTTAAATATATCACAAATTCTTTTCAAATTTTTTTCAAGAAGCATCTTCGGAATACTGAATAAAATCAGGCCAAGAGGGTAAATGATGAACTTGAACTTTGCAAATTCTTAATAACAAAGCTCAGTTCAAGGAMAATAATTTTAGAACTCCAAATAATTGTCAAGTCAGTCTAATAGAATCTAATAATAATCAAAACTATYGATGCTGAGGGACTCAATAAGCAATTTTAATATTAAATGTTTTCCAATACTTTAATCATTTAACTGACATTCTTCGTAAGCTCAACCCCTGTTCAATATCAAAATCAATATCAATCATGCATTTTATGTCTGGATTATAAGTTACCTTAGACTTACCATATGTTTACAATCATAAATTCAAGGATTTCATCTAAGAACCTAGTAAATCCAGTTGAAAGTAATGCCCACCTTTAACAATTTTTCTATTACAACCTATAGACATACATATTTACAGTGACCYATACATATTTTCAATACAGATCACACACACTTACCTTAACAAAACTCATTCGAATGGTGCACATTTTTRTGAGCTCATAGACTGCCTCAAACCCATGATTGACAGACTGAGCCAGAAGCTGAGCAAATTCCTGATTATTAAAAATTTTGAGGCTGCAGCTGCTGGGAATCTTACAGACAGTGGTGGGATGAAAACCATGATGAAAGTTGCAGTTCCTACTCTGTACAAATATTCTGTTGTCACTGAGACACTCTGCATACACCTCCCTGCCAACATAATACAGATGAACACCTTAAAAAGATGAGTAGCATGAGTCAGTTTAACAAAGCAAAAGAGATTATATGGTATAACCAAAATACGGAGATGTTCATAGCAAACTCTCTACTATCTTCAGATACAAGCAACCACTAGATGGCCTWCTGCTGCCAAAGATAATGAAGAGGTTAATGTCTGCCTAAGTCTAACATGGTCCTCAAATAACTAAGTTAAGCCTGAAGCTGACAGCTGATTAGGTTATCTACTTTTAAGTTGTTTTCCTTTTCCAAATCTTCTATTATAGAGAAAGAGATGGTTAAGAAAATAAAATTGCCTTTTCGTGAATCCTTTAAATAAACAGTCATTAGCATAGTTTTGTATTTTCTTTTTGTTAACAGAGGACAACAGTATTAAAYAAAAATACAAACAAAACCCCCAAAGGTGCATATATACTTTCAGGTCACCGCAAGAGTTTTTAAATTGCAGACATTTTACTTTGGTAATTTCAAATTATTTTTAACATATTTAAAATATATGTGTAGTGTGTGTGTCTGTGTGTGTGTGTATGTATAAAAATAATGCATGAAAAGTTTCAATACAAAAATTTAGATTGTGTAACTAAAGCTGGTATTTTTCCAACATATCTATCACCTCAAATTTCTCTTCATTAAAGGTAGAAACTGATATCAAAATGGTGGATATCTTTTGAACCTTTTTAAATGCATTTAATTTTATATAAATGTTCCTATGTAATTTTTATGTGTGTGTTTGTGTGGAAGGTTGGGTGTTCTKCTTTGTTTTTTAATGTGAATGTACCACATTCTATTAATCAAAAACTTGCTCTTTCACTTTAAGCAATCTTGAGGATTCTAGTACGCTTCAAAATATAAATTTGCTACTGTATATATCCTCTAAATGCCACTTATAATTCTAGGTGAATCTACTATCTACTGATGGACAACTTTTCACCACCACAGTGCTTTGTAGCATCATCCCTGAATATACATATCTCTCTGCACACAAGTAAGTCATAAAATTATATCAGACTATAATAATAAAAATTCAGCTTTGTTTCTGAGTAAATAAAAATGACCCATGAACAAAAGTATCCTAGAATAGTATGTTGAAAAAAAAGACAACTAATTTTAGAAATTCAAAATTTACCAAATAGATTTCACTTAAAATTATTTTTACTGGGATGGGGTGGGAAATCAATGCATACAAGGAAGACATTTTACCAAAAACAAACAAACAAACAAAAAACACCATCATGGCAAGTAGGCAATGAACTCTAAAAGAGAATGGCAACTTTGTATTCAACCTATTTTTGACCATAATATTTTAAAAAACCTCTTCTATAAAAAAATGCCATCATAATTATATTTATTTGCCTTTGTTTCCACTTGTAGTAAGACCCTCYTAAGTTAAAGCAAAAAGCAGCAAGAGGTGAAAACAAAACTTCTTGAGAAATATGCAATACACTCTACCTGGGATGTATTTCCTTCCTGACCACTTGATGCATGCATGAGACTCTGGCATCTCATTGCAGTGTGATATAGTTGTTGTGGCAGCTATATTTCAGGATGAATTATACAAAAAACCTTCCTGAATTTAAAAGATGAGGGGTGATAATAAAGCCACCAAAGAACTTCGACATTCACACTTGGATTCTCCACTTCTAACTCCACTCCCCCAACATCATGGTAATTCTTACACATTATATCTCAATTGAAGATGCTCCACAAATACCATAATTATGAAATCCTCATTCTTCACTAGCAGTCATGTGTTCCCCAAATATATTTGTTGTATATTTCATGAGCCAAGCACTGTCCTAGCTACTGTTATGAACATGATAAATTTCTGTGTAGTTTATATTCCATTTAGGGTAACACTCAAAAAACAAAGAAATAATGATTTCAGATCTTTAGTACTTAAGCAGAAAAACTAAACAAGATAAGGAATTGGGGACTCATGATATCTTTATTTGATTAATACATTCTTTAGTATACGCAACATGAGACAGAGGCCTTTAGATTCTTTGTAAGTTTACAGCACCTTCCTTACACAAACTGTGGCACATGGCCAATACAAAAACGGGCTGAATTCAACTGAATGTATGATTACCTTTTCCAATATGACGTCTAGTATTTTCAATTGTTGAATTACGATTAACATTTGACAACAACCCCAAGCAGAATCTACTTTTGTTATTTGAAGGGTCTGTGAATCCATCTACTAACACACTAGTAGAAGATGCATGAAAAGCTTCCCCAACGCGGTTGTTTAATTCGTAGTAAACAATTGAACACCAATGTTTGGGTTCTTCATAGGCAACAGGCTGAACATCTGTGAACAAATCAGACAGAAAAGAAGTTTAATAAGTGATTATCCAAAACTCCAGATTCACTATGTGTTTAATCTTCAACCCAACCCAAAGAGCTACATGAGAAAGAAAACAAGACATTTCACTTAAGTATCACTGTCCTTCCTGGTTTGAACCTATATCTAAAAATACTAGAAATAGACTTAAATATGACAATTTAAGCAATTTTAGGAAAACAAAGATAGGCAACTATCTTACTTAACCTGCTCAGTCTCCCTTAACAAAATATCATATTCTAAGTGGATTAATTTTTCCCTTCACAGTTCTGGATACTGGGAAGTACATCAAGGTGTCAGCTGGTCTGATATCTAGAAAAGGCTCCCTTCCTGGCTTGTAAATAGCTGGGTGCTCATATGGCCTTTCCACAGTGTGTGCTCATAAAGATCCAAAGATTCACTTCTGTTTCTCTTCTTATAAGGGTAACTAATTCCATCCTGAGAACCATGCTCTCATGAACTCATCTAAATTATATCTCAAAGGCCCCATCTCCAAACACCATGACATTGGGGGTTAGGGCACAATTTGGTCTGTTGGCATGCAAAAATACACGCATTACATCTCAAAGGACTCAAACTCCTAACTTATTTCAGCAAAAACTATAAAGTCTAAAATCTAGTCTTATGAAAATCAGAAAAAGGTGAGACAGGAGACAAAATCCCACAGCAGAATTCCCCTTCAACTGTAACATGTGAAACTAAACCAAGTTCTGTGTTGTAGGGAGTTGCACCCTCCAGTCTCCAGGTACCCTCATGACGTCATTCAGCCTGCTGAAACCAGACCAGTCATCCTGATGATTTCTGAATCAGCTTCAGAGGAATTCTTCTTTTTTGAAGAATTATAAAAGTTTACAGTCAAATAGCTTATCTGGTCTGCCACAGAATTTAAGGAACCTGATAGCCTTACTAAACTCCAGTCCATCTCTGTTCTCTTCAGGTCAAACTGCTTCTGCTGAAGTGGCTGTTTAGGTCCATGGTTCATACCCACACTAATATCATTATCAAATGGCAGGTGAGCAAAACTAAGTTATTTTTTGAAATATGGATAGGATGAGAATTTTCCAAATCATTTAAGTTCTGATTCCTTGCTGCTTAACAATTCCTTCTCAAATTCATTTTTTTCTTGAGAAGCCAGTAGGAACTAGGATACTCCTTCAACACTTAGGAATTTCCTCAGCTAAATATCCAATTTCGTAACTCAAAAGTTCTACCTCCTATAATACACTAGAACATTAACACCATTCAGCCAAATTCTTTGTCACTTTACAATACGGATGGCCTTTTTTCTGTTTTCTAATAATACATTCCTCTTTTAGGTCTATACCCTCACAAGAATCAGCCTGGTAAAACATCTATATTTGTACTAACATTCTATACATGATTTATGTATTCCCTAAGAAAATAGAAGGTTTATTTAAAGCTCTCTTTTACTTCTCAGCCCTCACCAGAATCACCTTTAATAGTCACTTCACAGCAACATCAGATTGTTCTAGCATGTATCTCAAAACTTTTCCAGCCTCTACATTATCTAGTTCCAAAGCTACTTCCATATTTTTAGGTATTTGTTATAGCAGCACCCATTTCTAGGTACCAGTTCCTATTTAAGTTGGTTCAGGCTGCTATAACCAAATACCATAGATGGAGTGGCTTAAATAATAGAAATTTATTTCTCACAGTTCTGGAGGCTGGGAAGTCCAAGATCAAGGTGCCAGTAGATTCAGGGTTTGGTGAGGGGCCCGCTTCCTGGCTTGTAGACAGCCACCTTCTTGCTGTGTGCTCACATGGCCTTTCCTTGGTTTGTGTTCAAGGGTAGAGAAAGATATAGACAGAAAGGGATCTATCTCTTCCTCTTATAAATTTACTAATACCACAATGAGGACCCCACCCTCATGATCTCAGCTAAATCTAATTACCTCCCAAAGACTCATTTCCAAATACCACCACATTGGGGGTTAGGGTTTCAATGTAGGAATTTGGGGAGGACACAATTCAGAACATAGTAGCAATATCATATCTTAAATTATTTCTCTAGGGGAATCTACTTCAGACTTAAATTTGAGATAAATGTAATTTTTTTTAACAACTGGAAAGGATTAACTATATCACTATCTGTAATACTATTCTAAACAAAAAATTGAACTCAAACACTTAAAGTGATTCTCTCTGCAAACTGGAAATAAAAGCATGAGAAGAATCATCCTTGCCTTGTTACTAATGTTAGCAGGAAATCTTCCAGTTTCTCACCATTAAGTATGATGTTAGCTATGGGTTTTCTGTAGATAGGCTTTATTATCACAAATGTGTAAAACACAAAACACTTAAGAAATACGTTAAAAAGCAATATCTTATTTCGAAACTTGGGATACTATACAGAACTTGAAGTCTCAAAACAAATAGACTTTAAAACCACAATGACACCATAAAAATATACCATTTTCATTGTCAATTTAAAAAGGAGACAATTAAAAAACCCACAATGAGAATCACTTCATATCCATTGGATGGTAATTATTAAAAAAAAGAAAAACATAGATAACAGCATTAGCATGTACATGGAAAAAGTGGAACCTTTATGTACAGATGGTAGGAATGTCAAATGATGTAGCTATTGTACAAAACAGTTTGGTGGTTTTGAAAAGTTAAACATAATTAGCATATGACACAGCAATTCTATTTTCAAGAATACAATATTCAAGTGGATTATAAGCAGACACTCAAATATAACATCATGATTCACAACAATCAAAAAAGTAGAAAAACTCCAAACAACCATCAATAGATAAAAGAGAAACAAAAAGTGTACACACATACAATGGAGTATAATTTGGCCTTAAGAAGGAATACCTCCCTCCCTCCCTCTTTCTCTCTTCTTTCTTTTTCTTTTTTGGCACTGGGGATTAAAACCCAGGCACACTCAATCACTGAGCCATATCCCCCACCCTTTCTATATTTTATTTAGCGACCAGGTCTTGCTAAGTTGCTAGAGCCTGGTTAAGTTGCTGAGGCTGGCTTTGAACTAGCAATCCTCCTGCCTCAGCCTCCCAAGCCACTGTGATCATAGGCGTGCGCCACCACACTCAGCAGTAATGAATTTTTAATGCATGCTATGACATGGATAAATCTTGAAAATGTCATCCATACTAAGTGAAATAAGCTAGACATAAAGTTCCTAAATACATCATTCCACTTAAATACCTCAAGTAGGCATTACAGAGACAAAAAGTAAAAGAGTATTGATCAGAGGCCAGAGAAGAGAGAATAGAGAGCTTTATAATAGGTACAGAGTTCTGCTTGGCATGATGAGAAGGTTCTGGAAATGGACAGTGACAGTGGTAGCAACACTGTGGATGTACTTAACACCACTGAATTGTATGCTGAATTATACAAACCACAGAATCCCAAAACACATAAGGCTAATCTCAACAGAACTGAATGTAGAAATATATAATTCAACAATAGTTGGGAACTTCAATCCCCAATTCTCAATAAATGATTGAATAATTAGAAAGGAAATAAGGATATAGAAAACTTGAATAATACTATCAACCAACTTCACCTAATTGAAATGTACACAACCAATGATACCCCACAATAGCAGAATTGAAAGGAAGGTTTCAAAGAGTTATCTTTAATAGCCAAAACCTAGAAGCAACCCAAGTGTTCATCAGTGCATGACTGGATAAACAAAATGTGGTGTGCACATACAGTAAATATTACTCATCTTACCACAACAGATGAAGCTGAGGATATTATGCTAAGTAAAATAAATCAGTCATAAAAAGACAAATAGACAAAACATAGAATGGTGGGGCTGGGTGATAGAGCACTTGATTGAGGTTCTGGGTTCAAGGGAGGGAGAGAAAAAGAGAAGAAAGAAGGAAGAAAATAGAATGGTGATTGCCAGGAGCTAGGGAAGGAAGATATGTAGAATTATTGTTTAATTGGCACAGAATTTTGTTTGGTTTCATAAGGTGAAAACAGTAACAGAGATGTAAGATGGTAACCACTGCACATTATGAATGTAATTAATGGCAACAAACTATATGACTTTAAAATGGTTAAGATGATAAATTTTATGTGTATTTTACTGCAATAAAAAAAATTATGTGGAAAAATCCTCAATATCAAGCTTTAGTAATCAAGACAAAGAGGTACAAATATACAATCAATGAACAAAACTGAAAGGCCCTAAACAAACCCTTACATTTGTATATTTTTATTATAAAGTGATTTCTAATAAAAATGTCAGTGCAATGGAGAACAAAAAAATATAGATATTTACCATATGGCATACACAAACATAACTCAAATGAATCAGAGACCTAAATATAAGAGCTAAAACTATAGAACACATAGAATAAACACAAAAGAATATTTTTTGCAACCCTGGAGCAGATAAAAATTTCTTAGATCCAGAAAAAATTGATAAACTGGACTTCATCAAAATTTAAAGCTACTGTGCTTCAGAAAACATTATTAAGAAAATGAAATCTACTGAGATAAAATATTTGTAAATCACTTTCTGATAAAGGATTCAAATCCAGAATATATAAAGAACTTGTACAACTCAATAAAAAGATAAACAACCCAATGGGCAAAAAATTTAAAATAAACATTTCATCAAAGAAAAATTTTTTAAATGTTCAACATCATTACTCATTAGGAGTATAAAAATTAAAACCACAATGTGCACTTCATACTCACTAAAATGACTATAATCAAAAAGACAGATGTAATAGTAAGTGTTAACAGATTACGAAAAACTGATACCCTCATACACTGCTGATGTAAAATGATACAGCTACATTGGAGAAGGTTGGCAGTTTTCCTTCAATGGTTAAACTTACTATATGACACAGCGATTCTACTCCTGGGTATCTTCCCAAAAAACATAAAAACCATATCCACACAAAGACTTTTATACAAAAGTTTCTAAGAGTATTATTCATACTAAACAAAACAAAAACTAGAAACAGTTCAAATGCCTACTGACTGGTGAATAGATAAAATGTGGTATATCTATACAAAAAACCCCACTGTTCAGCCATAAAAAGGAACAAACTATTATTATGTTACAACATGAATGTATCTTGACAATACTATGTTACGTGAAAGAAGCCAGATGAAAGACTATATATTACATGACCATTTATATGAAATGCTTAGAAAAGATAAATCTATACATACAGAAAACAGATTGGAATGGTATGTAAAGCTGTTCATATGAGTGAGGATCTCTTCAAATGCTCTCAAACTATATTGTGGTACAAAATTTATATGTTTTCCAAAATCATTCAATCATATACTTAAGGGGAATTTATAGTATATAAAATATACATGTTCCTGTTTTTTTAAAGTGGCCAAGACTGGGGGTGTAGATCAGTGGGTGAGTGCTCCCCTAGCATGTGGTAGGCCCTGCACTGGGCCTCTGACACTGCAAATAAATAAAATAAAAACAGCTACAGGGGCTGGATTTGTAGCTCAGTGGTAGAGCACTTGCCTGGCATGTGTGAGGCCCTGGGTTCGATCCTCAGCACCAGGTATAAATAACAATAAATAAAAGATCCACTGACAACTAAAAAAAAATTTAAAAAAGAAAAAACACAGATACAATAAAATCAACATGGTTGAACATCACTTTCTGATAAAAGATAAAATATACTTCTCTTACCTCTGCTGGATATACTGGGCATAATCTGAGGAATCATATTATTGCTTGTATCCATAGGCTGGGAATTATCTTGGCCCATCTGTTCATCAGGTGGCATATAGGCAGGAGGAGGTGTATCAGCTAAGAGGAAGAAAATGAGACAAGTTAAAATCCCAAAGAACAGTTAAAATCTTCATCTTGCTCAAAGTTATTACTTTACAGCATTAAAAAAATTTCAAGATTACCAGTAGGGTTCATTACTGAACATTAGATGCACAAAAAATGCAGACATTAGACAGCACATCTACTAGTAATTGAAAACCTATTACAAGCCCACATGTATGTACAACAGAATCTGGTAATCCAAGATATTAAAATAGAATTAAAGGTCAAAAACTGCCTTTCTTTGCGCAGAATCATATACTCAGAGATATATATTAAGAAAGAGTTAAAACCAACACTGAATCAGCACTATTAACTGGTGAAGAGATAAAATGTAGTACATCTATGCAAAATAAAGTATGAAAGTTTGTTTTTGAGCAGATTCCTAACAGCAGGTTAAACAGTTGGTATTTAATTCCCCTACTACTTCCATATTTTAAACATGGTATTTGACAAAATAAAATCCAAACTATTGTGGAAATCAAACAATTATCTGAGGAACATACAGTCAGAAGTAACTAGCTCTTTTATAACATAGTTCACCAGCAGGATCAGCAGTAAGAACAAATGCTGATTCTCAGGGGTTAGTATTATTACTTTTCTTTTTTCCTCTCAATAAAGTCTTACCTGGGAGTTGAAATGGACTTCCTGGTCCAGAACTTGCTGGGGAGTTAGGATATGTACTGCTAGCAGGGGAAGGGGGATAGGGGCTATTTGGAGATAAGGGAAAAGGAGTGTTGTTGGGCTGATGGAAAGAATCTGGAAATGTGGCATTTTGTGGCATATGCGGTTCATTGTGGCTCAGGTTCCTAAACTGAACCAGAAGACTGTGTTGTGGATTGAATTCATTATGACGAGGCACTAACACTGGAGGTAAGACTGAAAGACAAAAATGAAGTTATTAATTAGAAATCACTAAAGCAAATGTCCCACCCACTTAAAGGATTAGCAGAAAGGATTCATGTAAAACTGCAAACCAATTAAAACAATTTACTTTTAGGAAAGGCTGTTTTGTAGAAACCTGAAACTATATTAACATAATAACTATTTAATAACTATTGCATTTAGCCTGTATAAGAGACTCTAGAAGACAGAAAATCCAGAAAGATACCACTGATATTCTTTGATACATAGACTTGTTTAAAAAAAAAAAACCAACCATAATACAGAATATTATTGCAAAAGAAGTTCAATAAATGAACACTCCCATCTAACAGGGAATCAGAATATTATAGAAAAGACAACACCTGATCAGATCTTAAAAATCAAGAGGATTTCACATGAGTGCGCTAGGGGAAGAGAACCATAGAGGAGGGAGATGGGAAAACACAAGTCACTTGGCCTAGGTACTGAACCCTATGGGAGGTAAGAATAGAGAGTAAAGATGAGGTCAGTTATGTAGATGCCCTAAAAACCTTCACGTTTCCAATCCGAATATTTTCCTCATTCTTAATTTGAAAGATCTCAAATTTTGTGTTCTTCAGTAAAGTTTTCTTTACTAAAAATAGTAATGTTCCCCTAGTAGAAGTCTTCTGTTCAAAGTCTGTCTTATAAATATGATAATAGTGAAATTTCACATATGGAAAATATATAACATTTAAATAGATGTTTTTTTAAAAGATAAACTTTAACCTTATTCAAATATTCATTTTCTCTAAAGACCCATGTGATCAAAACAACATTCAAACACCTGATTACTTACTTTTTCCTATAGGAAACTAAAACCTGATTCTTCATATTCTTAAATGACAATTCATCTCTTTTAATAACTTTCCTATATTTGTCAATGCAATTTTTCATTCAGAAAAATCTCACTGATTCTGATATCATTTTGTACAAACAAAACTGGTTTGTTTTTTAGCTTCATACTTCCCCCTCCAGGAAGTTGGGATACATACAACAAATCAAATGCTCACCATTTGTACTGGTTTTTCATTTTACTGAATTCGTGCTGTAAATATACAGTTAACATTGACTACAACATTTTTTTTTCTACTGTTGTTCTCCTTTCAGAATGATGGGGCAACCACCATTGGAAAGAAGGGCATTAAATGACAGCAAGAAATTTTCTTATCTAGTTAAAAAGACTTCGTGAACTAAAGAATTCAGTTCTACTAAAGGTTCCTTTGCTGTTTTTTTTTTAAACTAAAGGCATAAATAAAATCACTGGTTTCCCTTATTGTTATATTATGTGCATACATAAATTTTTAAAACTATTTTACTATTCCAAAATAATATGTGGAGTTTATAAAGACTACAGCATAAACATATAAAAATGATAAGATTATAACAAAACAGCAATTTCTAGCTGTCTCCCATACTGTTTCCATAAATAACAAATTTAAATATTAAACCATTTCTTCTGATATTTATTTTGTGCACTGTTATATAACATATTGCTATTACTGATTTGTCAAGACATTATTTGTAGACTTGCTCTTGTAGCAAATGAGGCAGCTTTCTTGTTTTATTCCATTCCCATTTCCTTTCCTCACAACTGTCATAAAAAATTGTGATAAATATCCAGTGTTTATATTTAGTATATATGTGTGCGTATATATATGCATATATATTAAACACTGTTGAGTCAAGTGTACTGTGATTTCAACTCAAACAGTGCTTTTATTAAAGTTAAGTATTGCCTTGCTCCTTTACTTGCTTAATTTTAAGTGTGTACACTAATTTCAGTATTCCATCAGGTCTGCCAAATGCCTATCAATATTATTTTTCATACAGCACAATCATCAAATAATTTATTAATTTCATGTTTTCCTTTGAGTCTTTCTTCCCTTTTGCTCCAACCTGGATTGGTTGCTACTCAAGATTTCCATAAACCTTCCCTCCTGTAGGATTGGATCCCATTTCCTGGGCCTCATCTTATTAGTTTCCTAAGAAAGGATAAGAAATTTTTATATATGAAAAATATCTGGAAAAAAAAAGTTTTCTGTTTGCAGACAGAATTCCAGATAACTTTTATCCCTCTGAATTTTGAGGGCACTGCTTCATTTTCTTTAGAATTCCAAATTGCACTGAGACATCCAATGTTCTGATTTCCAATCCTTTGTAGATGCCCTAAATTTTTCTCTCTGGAAGCTTCCAGAATCTTTTTTTTACCCATGCTTTCCTAAGATTTCATGTGTAATCTTTTTCAATCCCTTGTTCTGATTACATGGTCAATGAACCACTACAATTGCTTGAGCAGTAGTATTCCTTTGAATTTTTTTCTCTGCCATTTCCCCCATGTTCTATTTTCAGAATGTATTATTCTAGAATTACTATTTAATTTGAAATCCATTCTGAATCACATGATGTTTTAATTTAAATACCTGTTCATGCATTCAATCATCTAATCCTCATAACAATTCTGGGTGGTGCGTAGTACTATTCCTATTTTATAATAAACTAGATTAATTTCACAGAAAGTTTATGTAAATTGCTTGAATTTATATTGCTAGTATGGAGTAAAACCAGAATTCAAATCCAGAAAGTCTAGCTCCAGAACCCATAATCTTAACTAGTATGCAAAACACCTCCCAACTATCTTCCATAATTTTTACCTTTGTGCAATATACCGTATACCAGCTAGTGGGTGATCCTCTATGTTACTTTACTTTCAAGTTTAAGTTTCCTTATCTATAAATTTATACACTCATAGGGGTCTAAAATGTTAGTACTCTTTTCTAATTCTATGAAGGAATAACCTCATAGGGTTTGAAAACCACCTAGTCCATAAACACTAATACTACTTTAGTAAGACAGTTGTATGAAGTGATCATCTTGTGCTTGGAACTGGGCCAATCTGCCACCTCCTCTACCCCCTAAGATGTTCGGATGAACCTGGGTCCAAATAATGTTTTGTTGTTGTTGTTGTTTTTCTTTTTTATTGTTTTTGTTTGTTTGCTAGTGATACTGGGGATTAAACCCAGTTCTGCCTCTACACTATATCACCAATCTTTTTTTTTTTTCCCCAGACAGGATCTCACAAATTCATCTGGGCTAGCCTCAAACTTGCAATCTTCCTGCCCAGCCTCCTGAGTAGCTAGGATTACAGGCATGTATTCCAAAACTTAGATTTCTTAACATTCCATCTAGCAAGATAGGTGATCTCTAGTGTTTTTAAAAGTATCTGAGGTATGCTTTTGCTCTTTCTATAGAATGATTGTAGCTGAGAAAAATGGATTCTTAAAGAAACAAAATCTTCTTCTGGTAGCAGTCACACCCTGGCTATGGAAGTAAACACTTACTAGACTTACTATTAGCAAATATGTAGACTTGAGAGTTTTGCAGACATCTCTATGAAATCTTCCTATTTTCCTTTCTTCATCAATTCCTTCAGGCTGCAGCTTTCCTGGGACTCCATGAGAAATTGAAGATCATCTCAAATATCAAATAGCAGCTCTAACGCTCTCAAGTTGGAATTTCCCTGACAGGACAATCACTTCTATTCTTTTTACTAGTTTCCACGTTCAATGTTACTTTCGGTCTTTCTACTACACTGGGTTTATGTTATCTGTAGTGTGGTGAACAGACTCTGAGATGGCCACCATGATTCCTGTCTTTGATTATTCATGTCCTTGGGTAAATCTTGAGTGTAAGGATGACTGTGATTTGCTTCTAACCAAAAGAATACGGCAAAGTGACAGGAGGTATGTGATTACATTCCATAAAAACATAATGCCATTCTTTCAGGAAGAAGCTGCCATAAATGTAAACTACTTATGCAGATGGATATGTGGTAGGCAACTGAAGGCAATCTCTTGTTGATGATCAGCAAGGGTCCAACAGCTTGCAAGGACTACCGAATTCTGTTAACAATTACAGTGACCATGGAAACAGAGCCTTCCCCATCTGAACTTTTGATAAGACCTCAGCCCTGGCCAACACTTTCATTAGAGGCTTGCAAAAAGCCAGCTAACCTATGACTAGATGCTCATCCACAAACTATGAGGTAATAAATGTGTCAAGCTAGTACATCTGTAGTAATTTGTTGTATAGCAATTGATAACTAATGCACTCAGCTACTATCTTAGCTACTGTGGTTTCAATATGTCCCCAAAATTCACATGTTGGAAACTTAATCCCCAATATAACAGTGTTGGGAGGTGAAGCCTGATAAGAGATAATTCAGGAGTGGGACATTTATCATGAGAATTGATTCTGTTTTAAGTACAGCCCCCTCTGTCTTCTCCCCTGCCTCACTTATGCTAGCTTGCTATTCTGCCATCATATGATGCTATCAGAAGACCCTCACCAGAGACAGCCCCTCACCATGGGACTTTCCAGTCTCCGGAACTATGAGCTTTACGTTTTTTTCAAACTTTTGTGTGTGTGTGTGTAACTTTATTATTTTTTTTTAATGCGGTGCTGAGGATCGAACCCAGTGCTTCACATGTGCCAGGCAAGTACTCTACCACTGAGCCACAACCCCAGCTCCCATAACTTTCTATTGTTTATAATTTACCCAGTCTGTGGTATTGCTATAGCAGCAATAAATGAACTAAAACATCAGTTTAGGTAATTCATTCCTTACCCCCCCCACACAAAAAAAAATACAGAGTAGCATCTACTAAGTGCTGGAAATGTTACTCTAGACACCAGGGATGCAGTAATGAAAGAGACTAAGGAAGGCACTACTTATGTCAGTCAGTAAACAAAATAAATACCTAACAGTCAACAAGTGATGGTGCTTTTAGAGCAAGTACTAAACAGAGTGAGAAAGCATGCCACAAAAATATGACAAGGGGAGAGTCCTTTAGAAGAAAAGGCAATATATAATGCCTGGAAACAGGAGTAGACAAGTCCAAGGAACAGAAGTCTGAGGACAGGTCATAAAGAGACCTGCTCTAAGTGTGACAGAAAGCCTTTAAAGAGTTTTTAGTAGGGAATGACATGATTTGACATATGCTGTTTTAAAGGTCACTCTGGCTGCCACATAGAAAATATAATGGGTTGAGGGGAAAGGAGAGAGAACAATTAGGAGAGTACTAAGTTGAGAGATGATGACAATCTATTTTAAAGTAGTGCTTACAGATGGTGAGAGGTGATAATACCAAGATATATTTTGAAGGTACAGTAAACAGCATTTGCTCATAGCTCAAATACAGGACTTAAGAATAAAAATGAACTTAGCCTTACACAACAGTAATTACATGAATATTGCCATGCACTTCAATAGAAAAACAGGAGAAAAAATGATTTAGTAGGGGGAAAAATCAAAAGTCAATGTTTATTAGACATTTAAGTGGAGATGTCAAGTAGATAACTGGATGTATAAGTCTAAAACTAAGGGAGAAGTTGACACTGGAGTTCAAAATKTAAGCATCAGCTTATAGATGATTTAACAAACATGAGGTACTTAATGCATGACAGCATTTATGATAGAATACAGACRGAGAAAAGATCCAAGTACTAAGTCCTAAGAAACAGTAGAATAAGGCATCAAAGAGACTGAACAAGGATAGTGAGATAGGAGAATCAGGAGAAAGTAGYGTCTTGAAAGTCAAAGAGAAAAAGTTTTGAGTAGGAGGGCAGAAGACCAACTATGTCAAACTATGAGAAGGAAGTAAGACAGAGAAACAACCTTAATTTGTAAAAAGGCAGTCACTAGTGATGGTGACACATTCAATAGTAGGGCAGAAAGACTAACTGGAAAAGTAACAAGAAAGAAGGAAAAATAAAATGTACAGATAATGAAAATGGAGAATTTTTATAAAGACCAGAAGAAAATGCAATAGATAAGGAATAGGAGTGTGTGAATGAGGTTAGAACAGGAATTCTTTTTTAACTCTTATTTTAGGATGGGTGGTAACATAACATGATTATATGTTATCAGAAATAGTCTGGTAGAGGACAATATGATGCTGGGAAGACTGATGATATCGTTGGAACAAAATTCTTGAATAGACAAAAAGGAACAAGATCTAGTACATATCAGAAAGGAAGATCATCTAAGTGTATATATAGGTGTTTATAGTGAACAAAGAATTAGAACAAGCCATTTGAGAGTTATATCACCTATATAAAAAAAAAGTAAATCCAGTATCCCTCCCACATTAAATCTTTAAAAAGGCAACACAAGGTCAATAAAACCTTTCAATTAATAAACTAATTATACGCTAATCAGCCAGAAACATGTTTTTTTGTTTTGTTTTTTCCTTTTTAGTTTTGTTTTTAATTATTCTCAGGACAATAAAACCTACCTGGACTCTCCACTCTYTTATAATGGTAAGGGTTGATACAAACTTCTTTTTGCTTAGATCCAAAAGGAAATTCACAAATATCCAATGGCTTTAGCTCATATTGACTCTGCAAATCAGGACAGCGCCAAACAAGACAATATATAACATGGGGTAAGCCCTTCCTGTGAGAAACCTGTAGGCGTCCATCTAAAGATCTGGGAATAGTGACACATTTGCTCGGCTGTCCTGGACTGCTCAAGGCTTTCTCCAGTTCTTCCATGGCACCTTTTTTCTTTTTCATTTTTTTTCACCAAAACATTGACTGCCTTTTCTGCCCATTTTTCCTCCTCATCACCTTGTTTCCAGCCCAACAATCGCTTCACTGCTGGACTAGTAAAAGAACACAAGCTGGCCATTGACATCATTTGATACAAATCTTTAGAGACCTTCCTGTAATTAAAGTCAGTAGCTACTGAAAGAACAGATCACAGGTGAAAAGTCACATACAGGTCCTAAGCAGAAGGTCCAATTAAAGRAGGAGGAGTGACATTTATCTTCACAAGTGCCATATGCTTCTTTCATTGGTTCAAGTCCTAAAAGAGAAAGCAGGAAAGGATCCTAATTTAAACCAATTCAATTTACATATATTTAAGTCAATATAACTGAAAAATGTGTTATTTGTCACTAAGAACAGAAAAGCATTACAAAGTAAAACAAAAAACATAAATCTAGAAGAAGAAATTTTCTCTAAAGGTTCTGTGACTTCTTCCTTCTTCACAGCATGAACAAATAATTAATCGACTGACAATGACATATCATAACCAAGAGTAAAAACAGGCTACTTTACTTTCTATATATTATCAAAAACAAAAACAAAAACAGACTATTTCCTTTGGTCAAGCTACTAAGGCCTAAAAGAGTCCTCTAAGATTTGCTAATGAAGTTCTTTCCTTCACCAAAATTCATACATGTTACATGCTGTCAATTCTGAACATGACATGTCCTGAGGTGATCAAAATCCCCTGAAGTTTTTGTTTGTTTGTTTGTTTTTGGTGATACTAAGGATTGAACCCAGTGACACTCTACCAGAGAAGCTGAGATTATTCAAGTCACATTATCAGATGCAAATTATATTAAAAGTTGTCATAATATGTACCAAACTCTCAAATCAGTCATAGTACATATAACTGCCAGAAAGTGAAAAGTGTCTATTTTTAAAACTAAGAATGCTAAAGAKATTTAGAGAGATTAAATATATGATTCAACCCAAAGAAGTTTATATTTTATAATTTCTACTAGCTTATATGATATTTTATGCATATTAGTTAATGAAGATGCTCCATGCAAAATACCATTCTGACCCACTAAACGTTTTTGGTGATGACAAGAGCAAGTGATACACAGTGGCACTCTACTGCTAAGAGTGGGTAAAAATCCCTGTACATCACTACACAACCAACTACAGACAAAATGCACTTAGTGAAACATATAAAAAAAGAATGTCAGTAACAAAAGATACTTCCTTTCTTGTGCCATTTTACCAACCAATGCTGTAGCCTTTGACAAATGCTAGCAAATTCTATAGTCAAGATTGTTCTAGGATGGACCATATCTTCCCAGAAAAGAATACATGCACTCAGTTAAAACCAGGTAAACACACACACACACACACACACACACACACACACACATACACACACAAAAAAAACTGAGTTAAACATCAGGAATAATTGCTGGTTGCTTATTATATGCCATGTACTATGATCAGCCATTATGGAGCTTAAAAAAAAAGAAAAAGTCACACCAAATAGGTTTCTTCTTAAGAACCAACAGATTAATTCATTCAGCATATACTTGCTGAGAGCCTGTAAGTGCCAGGAATTGTTCTGCATACTGATGGTGGTGACTAATAGCAATGGCTGTCCATACTGCTAAGCTGTAACCATGAGAGAGGGGTGCAAGAAACTAAAGATATACTTCTAATGTYAGGATCCTGTGTAGGATGTTTTTGCCAGGCAAGCAAACCTGGCTACATTAAACTAGAGATATAACAAGAAAAAGCATATTTTTCAGTAACAGGCATATATAAAGGAGCTATAAGAAGAGCTGAKCTCAGTCATAGTTACATTGAGGATGTAGGACAAAATCCAACTGGGATCAGAAAGTAAAGGCAATGTTTGCCTCAGAGGAGAAAAGAAATTCCAAAGGCAAAGAGACACTAACAAAAAAAAAAAAAAATCAGGCAGACATAAACAGAGCATTTCCTGACCACAGAGAAGAAAAAAAAAGCCTGATGATTGATCTTATTGAGGAATACAAGATCACAGTGGGGTCTAGACAGAAGGGGTGTGTGTGTGTGTGTGTGTGTGTGTGTGTGTGTGTGCGCGCGCGCGCGCGCGCGCATGAAAGAGGGAGAGATATGAGAGGAACTTAAAAACCACAATTCAGAATACACAGCTCATTCTAAAACAATAATCTAAGTGATTATAGAAACAATACGATTAACTAAGTTTAAATGAGATATAGTATAAGAATGCTATACAACCATTAGAATAACATAGATACTATAACTTTTAAGGAAGGTGTTTCTCCTTGTTTCTACATCTAAATTACAACTATGCAGGGTGCATAGAAAGTACCTAATAAATKTTAACTATTCATCTATTATCATCATCATTCAAAATATGGGGGAAAAAGTTAATTGTGTATATAAACAGAGAATAAGGACCAGAAGGCTATGTACTAAATTATTCATTGCACTTATCTCTGGGAAGAGGCAGAAGAAAGGGGTCCTGTATAACTTGTTCCATATACTTCTCTACTGTTTTAACCTTTTAACAACAAGAGCCTATTAAGGCATTATTTAAATAGTGCTAAAATAAAAACAGTATCTAAAATCAAATTATAGTAACAGAATGAAATTAAGAGTGCTCACTGGTATAAAAACCAAGTTTAAAAAAATGCCTACTAGTAGAGGTTAATATGATGGTGGTCCTACAAAGGGAGTAACAACTATTAGAGAATCTKAGGGATTTCTACTATCCTGATACAGTTTGTGCTTATAGTTCTAGATGGTTATATATAAGATTTCAGTTTGTGAAAATTCATCTAGTTGGGTACTAATTATAGGAACACTTTTCTGCAAGATTTTAATATATTCTGTTGACACAGAAAAAGTGAACTGTGATCTGATTTCTCCTTCCCATTCTCTCCATCATTAGTTCCCCATCTCACAGGTAATCCCTTTTATTTTCCTTTAATGTCTTTCCAAAGAAATATTACATAAATAAGCAAATGTGAATGTATATTTTTCTTTACATAAGTAGTTGCATTCTGAAAAAAAGTGCAAAAAAAGTGTTGAAATTTATCTTTAAGATCTTTCCATATTAGATGCAGATCTTTATCTAGAGTTTCCACATTCTTCTCTACAACACAAAATTTCAGTGTAAAATTAATTCAATTAGTAGGACAAAGCATAACATTTCCCTGCTCAAAAGAATCATCTAGTGGCTTCTCATGACACTCAAAATCTAAACTCCTTATATTATTTTATAGGACTACATGATCTGGCCCCTGGCTGCTTCTTCCAATCTCATTTCATAACCATTCTTCCAGYTAACTCTACACTTAACTACACTTGACTTCTTTCCATTTCTCAAGGACTCTAAGGTTATTTCTACTTCAAGGCCTCTGCACTTGATATTCCCTCCTGTGGAATTCTCTTCTCCCAGATCTTAAMATGGCTCATTTTCTCAATTAATTCATTTGCTCACATGACAACTCCTGAAAGAGAAATTCCCTGACCACTTTATCAAAAATAAATTTCACTCCACTTCACAAAACCCTATCCCAACCCTGTCTCTCCCTCATAACATTTACCCTAAAACACCTGATACCATAGTATCAATTTTATTTATTTACACTGTCTTCACCACTGAAATGTTAGTAGGGAGATAATCTTATCTTCACTACCCACCACCAGATCTCCTGGACCTAGAGTAGTGTCTATTTATAAAATATAAACCAGTGAGTAAAAAGAAGCAACTTGCAAAAATATGTGCACACCACCAGCCAGAGGCAGTGGCCCATCCCTATAATCCCAGCTACTCAGGAAGTTCAAGGATTTGAAGTTCAAGGCCAGCCTGGGCAACTTGGCAAGACAATGTCTCAAAATAAAATAAAAGGGGCTAGGGATACCAAAATCCTAGAATGTTTAAGTTTCTTATATAAAATGGTATAGCATCTGCATATAACCTATGCACATCCAAATATATACTTCCTCATCTCCAAATTGTCTATAATACTTAATACCTCATGTAAATGCTATTAAATAGTGGTTATACTGTATTGTTTAGGGAATAATGAAAAAGTCTGTACAAATTCAGTACAGGCATAATTTTTTTTTGTAATATTGTTTACATTGGTGGTATTTATCAGTACAAAACCTGTGGATATGAAGGAGCAACCATACATAATGTATATAAAATTTAAAATAAAATTGTCATTATAGATATGTACATATATAATGAGAGAATAAAAATATGGATAGAAATGACACACACTAACCTTATACTAAATACTAATTGTCTCCAGTGAGCAGGGACAGAAGGATGAAGATAGAAAAATCTTTAGTTGTTTTTTTTAAACTAGATTTGAATAGGCAAATCATCTATTGTGATAAATTTATAGAAAAGTAAGAAAAAAACCCTTTAAGTATTTCAAAATTCAAAAACCCACTAGTTTTGATTTTAAAAAATAGTATAATGAAAGCAGAGAGGAGATCAGATTCTACCCTTCACTAAGGGCAGGACTAGGTATCTAGAGAGTCATTTCAAAGTCACTAAAATGTTGAAACAATAAAGTATGATAAAATATATGATACATACTTTATAAACTGAAGAGTGCTATTTGAACATGAATAATGATCATTACTGTTCAGAGGGAAGAGCCAAGACATAAGAGATTGGATGAATTTATTCACAATCTAACTACTCATCACTGTATCACTATATGTATTCACCTTCTGATCAGCCCAAATTCCTATAACTTGTCTGCTTATCTGTATCTTCCAAGAGAAATCTTAGTTATCCTTAATGATAAGCTCAAATCCATCCCTTCCTATGAAGAGTTTCAGCACTACTCTACCCTAAAGAAGTTACTATGGCTATGGTTAAGAAGACATATTGATAAGAACTTATCTACTTCCTCAAATGGAATACAAAATCCTTCCAAGAGTCTGGAGTACCTGACATTATTCCATGCACTGAACTGCATACTTTAATGAACAGTCATTGATTTTTCTATCAGGTGCTGCCACAGTTTGGATATGGTTTGAGTGTGTCTCCACAGAAGCTTAGTCTTCAATGTGGTAGTGTACAAGGTAAAACAACAACAACAACAACAACACCAAAAAAAAAAAAAAACTTTAAAAGGTGGGACGTAGTAGAAAGTAATTGGGTCGCTGGGGGTACTGTCCTTGAGAGGGTCTAAGATARTTCCTGTGAGACCCTGAGTTAGTTCTCCCAAGAGCTAGTTGTTATAAAAGAGCAAAACTGGACCCTCCCCACATTATGGCTTCCTGTCATGCCACATA